CTCACACCTTCCCCCCACCCTCCCCCACACCCTCCCCCACACCCTCCCCCCACCCTCCCCCATACCTTCCCCACACCCTCCCCCACACCCTCCCCCACACCCTCCACACACCCTCCCCCTCCCCCTCCCCCACCCTCCCCACACCCTCCCCCCACACCCTCCCCAAACCCTCCCCACACCCTCCCCCTCCCCCTCCCCCCACACCCTCCACACACCCTTCCCACACCCTCCCCCACACCTTCCCCACACCCTCCCCCTCCCACTCCCCCCACACCCTCACCTGGAAGATCAGCTTGCCAAGGATGAACTTCCTGAGAAACAGCGCCCTGTCGACGATGATGAGGCCGAACTGGAGGATGAGCATCACGAGGAATGGCACTGGCACGCGGTTGTCCTCGAGGTAGGCACTCACGCCCCCGTCGCCCTGCTGGGTCTGTGGGCGTGGGCGTGGGTGAGTTACAGGGGGAGAGATGGGTTGGGTGTTTTTGGTTGGTATGTGGGTATGTTGGGTGGCTATGTGATATGTTGGGTAGGTATGTGATATGTTGGGTTGGTATGTGGGTATGTTAGTTGGCTATGTGATATGTTAGGTTGGTATGTGGGTATGTAGTTGGGGGTTTTGGCTGGAAGGTATGAGGTATGTTGGGTAGGTATGCAGGTATATTAGTTAGGTATGTGGGTATGTTGTGTCGGTATGTTGGTTGAGTGTGATTGGGTATGTTGGGTAGGTATGAGGGTATATTAGTTAGGTATGTGGATATGTTGTGTCGGTATGTGGGTGTTGGGCACACCCAGATATGCGGGCATGTTGGTTAGGTATATTGATGTTTTACGTAGGTATGTGGATATGTTGGGTGGGTATATGATATGTTGAGTAGGTATGTGGGCATGCTGGGTTGGTATTTTGTCTAGGTATGTGGGTGCATATGGTAGATATATGCATGTTGAGTAGGTATGTAGCTATATTCAGTAGGTATGTGGATATGTTGGGTAGGTGTAAAGGTATGTATGTGGGTATGTTGGGTAGATATGTGGGCATGTTGAGTGGGTAGGCAAGTGAATTCTTTAATAAATTTGACTGGTATGTATTTTTTTAGCAGATATATGAGTGTTTGGTATATTTCCAGCAGGTATATGAATGTATTCGATAACTAAGGAAATATTTTTTGAAGAATTATGAAAAAATCAGTTTATTCATGATGTTAGTGTTAGTTTGAACTCGCTCTCTCTCTCATTCTCTTTCTCTTCCTCTCTCTTTCTTCCTCCTCTCTCTCCCTCTCTCCCTCCTCTCTCTCTCTCTCTCTCTCTCTCTCTCTCTCTCTCTCTCTCTCTCTCTCTCTCTCTCTCTCTCTCTCTCTCTCTCTCTCTCTCTCTCAACCAACTTACACCAAAAGCCGAAAAGCCAAAGATGAGAACGAAGAAGTTGAAGAAATCGCAGAAGAACATATAAGCGTAGACGTCGACGGAGACCTGGTACTCGGGGTGCAGGAGGGCCGTGATGAAGCCGCGGACTTTCCCAACGAGATGGTCCGCCCTGGAAGTGGAAACGAATGCGAGTCAAGGGCGTGCATCTTGTTTGTTGGTTTGTGTTAAGTGTGGTTTTGATTTTTTTTCTTTCATTTTCTTTCTTTTGATGGATGGGGGGATTCTTTTTTTTTTTTTTTTTTTTTTTTTCTTTTTTGAGACCAAGCACAAGACCCAGACTCACCCTCCTTTGGCCAACTTGGGGAGCTGCTGAATGTTCTCCCTGACCTCCTCGAAATCCGGCTTCTGGAAGTCCTTGAGCGCCTGCAGGTTGCACGCCGCGCAGGTCACGTGGACGGACTCCGAGGCCTGGGACTGCGAGAGGTGCGTGCAGTGCGACGTGGTGGAGAGCGGCCGCTCGTTGAAGGACACGCGGGAGCCCTCCGAGAGGTGCCTTCGGTGCGCCCTCCTCGTCGCCAGGGATGAGGCCCTCAGGTTGAGGCTCCCGGGCGGCTGCGAGCACACGGAGGGGTGGCGCCCGTACGACTGGCACGGCGACCACGTCCGGCGGTAGGCCACGACCTCGCTGCCGGAGCGGTGGCGCGCGCCGGCCCGGGGCATGTCCAGGTCGAAGCGCGTCTGCACGGCGCGCCCGTCCTCCGACAGCTGGCGGTAGTGCCTCGGGGGCGACGACGCCGGCAGGGGCTCCGAGGCGCGGGACAGGAGCGAGTCGTCGTTGGCGTTGAGCAGGAGCGAGTTCTCCTCCTCCTCCTCGTGCTCCATCAGGGTGAGGGAGCTCTCCTTGGTGGTGGTCGGCAGCGAGCTCTCCCGCGTGTGCGACGGCAGCGACGTGTCCCTCGTGCTGGACTGCAGGGAGCTGTCCTTCACGTTGGACGACAGGGAGCCGTCCTTGAGCTCCTTCAGGTTCAGCGAGCTGTCCTTCGTGTCCTTGGACGTCAGGGAGCTCTCCCTCGTGTCCTTGGAGAGCAGCGACGTGTCCTTGGTGTAGGAGAGCGTGGAGCCGTCGCCGGAGTGG